GGACTGGTCATCAATTAGGCAGCAACTGGGACAGATTATTTAAGAGTTAGTCCCTTGCGTAATAGGGAAGACCTTATCCAAACGGGAAAGGCAAGTGCAGGGACATCTGCCACGACCATGTTGTAAGACCTGAAGGAAATCTTAGCTTTCTAGGATTCGTGCGGGTGCTTGTCGCATGCTGCATGCGTGCGTGCGGGTTACGAGATTTCAAAGCTGCCTCCAGCTCAAATGCTGCGTTTCTGTTGGCTCACTTGGCGACTTGAGGCATCACCCTGCTGTGTGATTTGTTAAGCTTGCCCCGCACCCAGAGCTCACAGAATAACAAGCCAGGGGTGCCAGAGGGCCACCGAGCGTATGGCGTTCTGGGCTCACAGATGAGGAAATCAAGACTCAGAGTAAGCCCCTCTGCCATCCTTCCCGCCGTGTATCCACAGCTACTTTGGGGCTGAGCTACAACCTGAACTGAGGAGCCCAGTTCGTTCTGCTCTTTCTGGAACACCACGTACCCTCTTCCTCACACGTAAGAACAAGATGTGAAAACAACATCACTAGGTCTACCTAACACAGACAACCCGATCATTCTAGAGAACAGTAATGTAATTAAGTCAAATTAATGTATATGAAACTTCTATTTGAAAGGACTATTCCATACTTCTATCTTTTCATTCTCTAGAAAGAAACATTATGAGAACTTTGAGATAGCAAGAGGGTTACAGCAAGAGGGCCTGCTCCTTGTGGCCCTCTAAGACCTGCCTGGCTAGTTCACCTCTGAGATGTGCATTTTAGAAACCAGGAGAAGCTTTGAATTTCCATTCACATGTGACTAGGAGCCTCCCCTGCAACCCTAGAATCTAATCTTTCATCTGCTTCCTGGACTCCACATGACCCTGAGGTCAAGTATTCTTATTCCTGGTGAAATAAGGAAATGCTGTCATACTCACTAGGCCCAGGCAGCAGGGGGCCGCCAGCCACGTGCATCTCACAAGACACGTGACGTGGATGAGTAACCGAGAAATAACACTCCAGCAACCCAAGGCTGTGGTAGATGGTGGGCTCTGGCCAAGTCTCCAGTGCGAGGAAGCGCCCCTGTTCACCAGTCCTGGTCTGTATGTCTGTCCTGCCGTTCTGACTTGGGCCACCGCTGTGTCACCTTCCTCCTTCCCCTGTTTGGCTGAATCTTCCCAGCTGCTGCTCTTGGTGGCCTTAGAGGACCAGTGGCACGTTTGTTGCTTGCGATGAGAGTCATATGCAGCTTTTATAAGAACCCTGTTGTATTTGGTTCAACTGTACAAAAAAGAAAGTCCTTTCTGCACTCATTTTAAGAAAACGTCAGTTGTGGAACTGAAAAGCCTGGGTTTATTTGTAGAAAGAGCAGAGAAACAACCCATTTAGGTTGGGTGTGTTTTCCTGTTTTAGTCAACTCAGACCCCTTTAAAAATTAAGAAAAGGAACCTATTGAAATACATCGGGAGGGGAGAATGAAGTAAAAAGCAGCAAAGTAGGAGAAACAAATAAGAGCAGAGAAGATAGAGGAAGCAAAACGCAGATTAGAAATACCAAAAGCAGGTGGAAGAGATGGAATTTCAGGGAGTCAGTTCAGAGTCAGCGGTGCCCTTCCTCACTCAAGCAGAGTGGCGGTTCTGCCCTCTGCCTTTGACTGTCTCACTCTCCCGCTGGGCTCCAGGGCACAAGGAGGGTGTGGCTCGCTATTGTTTGCCCAGTGCCTAGCAGGACGCAGTAACCAGGGTCTGAATCAGTACAGGAACAGGAACAGAGAACGTGTTGGGAAGAGCCATCCAGCCCCTGGAGGCGCCCTGACAGCTAGAGCTTCCTCAGCAGCAGCTGCCGCCTGGCCTGCCCCAGACCTGGGCACTGCTCAGTGTCTCCTATGGGCCCTTTCTCAAAGTCTCACCCATGTTGCCTTTGCAGGTTCCCACAGAAGGAAGTATTAGAACTGCTAAGCACTAGGAGAATGTTGGCCTGTTTCCTGCAAACTTTGGGAAAGTTGGTGACTTTACCAGTCTCCCCTGGGGGGGCCCCCAAGTCCCTGAGACCTGCTCAGTGGGCCCTGCTGTGTGAGGCTCTCAGCACCTCCCCCAGCCCCTCTGATGCCCGTCCTGGTCACGCTGGTTCTCCTCTCCCTCAGCTGCCCTCTCGGCGGCCCCAGAGGAGCCCTTGCTTCCAGCCCACAGGTGGCAGCTCCCCTTCCCGACACCCATGGAAGGGCCCTCATGTCCAAGAAATCCTCCACCATCACCCTCACACGAGACACAGTATCAAGGTCCCGTGATCTCCATCCTCTCATCTGCTTTCTCCTCCATTTGTCAGGCCTGCGCCTGGGCTGCCCACAGCCTCCTCACCCGCTGGCCGCCAGCCTCCCCAGCAGGGTCACTTCAGGGGCTTTGGCAAGCATTCATGCAAACAATCAGATTTAGAAAATTTTCACCTTCCTCCACTAATACTTTCTACTCATTTAGCACGAGCTCCCCAAATTCACAGGTAAGGCACTCCCCACCTAGAATTTATTTCCCCAATCTGTTCTTCAATTTCATTTTTTCAAAGGCTTATTTATTTATACATACAAGAGCTGGGGTACAGTCCAGAGGTGTGGGGAGTGAAAGGATTCACCAGAGACAGAGTGGGGAAGAGAACAGGCAGATTGACCAAAGTACACTGCTGAGGGGAGCAGCGGGCAAGTCGGGAGAGGTCTGCTGAGCCATGTGCGTTGCTCCCTGGCCAGGGATTGAACTCGTGCTGCAGTGGCTGTGGACACCATCATAGGTTTTGTCTTAACCCCTTGAGACACCAGGGAGGCCCCTGTTCTTCAATTTTAAATTTCACTTCCTGTCCAGTGTCCTGTCTTGCCTCGAGACCTCTGGGCAGGTAAGCTGGAGATAGGTTAGGTCCCAGCTAGGCAAACCGCATGCCAGCCTCAGTTGCCTCCTTTGTAAAATTCAGCTAATAGTTAACATTGTAGGTAGTACCGAGCCGTTGGGTGTTAGAACTGAAATTCAGTGACTGTTGAAAAGACTGAGTCCTCACAGAGCATGTGACACACACATCTGCCTTCTCCATCCTCCTGCCGCTCCACACCTTGATGACCCACCCTCTACCTGACACTCTGCTGACACCCCACGCTTCCTACATACCCACCCCAGGGGACGCACCACCCTGGGTCCGCCCAGTGCCCTGCTGCGTCTGCTCTCCACCTGGCTGTGGGTGAGCAGGGATCTTTGCCAGGGTGGTGACGAGGCGTGGCCCCCCATTCTGTCTGGCCTGAGTCCGTCATCCTTGGCTTCCTCTTCCCAGTCCCCAGAGCAGCTACTTGAGATCTTTCCTCTGCACCCCCTCTCCCTCCCAGCAGTATATCTCTGTCTCCATGAGCCAGAGCCTTAAGCTTCAGTGCACTAAGGAGTCACACTGGTCCCAAAAGAGGTTTTTGACCTGGTAAGAGGTGGTGAAGTTGGAATCTGCAGTTTTAAACAAGCGTCCCCAGGGGATTCTGAGACGGGCAGTGCAGCGTGCAGGGAGCACCGTCCTAAGCCTGGAGCTCCCTGAGAACAGACGTCCTGTCTTTTCCGATTTTCACCTCGAACTACCTGGCGACAGATATTGGAGGACTGATTGAATGAATGAATCTGGCTGTCACTGTGCACTTCAGAATAAGTCACTATTCTTTGAAATGCTAATTAGGTACAGCTCTTTAGATGCGATCTAAAACTCTCTTACACATTGTATCCTTCATCAGCCCTTTTCACTGCCATTAGACCTAAAGAACTGTAAAAAACTTGTTATTCCACGACTGGCAACAACAAAAACCCATGCAAAAACCTGATGAGATCGGGACAGAGGTACAGAGATACAGAGCTTGGGCCTTTCCACCGTGCCTTAGGGAAGGAAAGCCCGCTGTGGACACTCCCTGCTAGAGACCCACCGGGCTTCGGTCTTTGTAGCCACCACCGTGCCCTTTTCTGGAGTGGAAGGGATCTTAAGCAGGAAGGTGGGTGCAAAGGATGTTGGGAGAAGGTGGCTTAGAGAACTAGGTAAATAAAGACACACCCACTGGGTGGTGCGGGGCTCACCTGGCTTCATATCCTACCTCTGGTCTTTACTGACTTGAGCCCTGCATGATTAAATGGTTGGGGCCTCTTGTTTCCTTATCTGTAGTAGGGACACTGTGATTTACCTTGCACGCTTTTTGGAGAATTGAAACATAGAAGTAATGCAGTGATTCTGGGATGTTAGTTTTCGAGAGTGCTGGGTATATGGCTAACCATCTGTCTGCATCACAGTGGAAGGGAAACACGCACGCACGCGCGCACACACACACACACACACACCCCACCCCCCCAATCCCCCCACCCCGATCCGCCTAGAAAAACAGAAGTGGTACCAGCTATTGCCCACTAGGGAAGTCTCAGTCTGAAACCTCACCCTGCCTGTCATAAAATGTTTCCAGAGGGAGCAGACAGTCACCTAGGGCCATGCCCTTCTGCTTCCCTCTCCCCGGAGCTTGTCCTGGGGAAGTGGGAGGTGAACAGTGTGGGTGGCTGGAACTGAAACACTTCTTGTACCAGCCGCTGATCCTGCCACCCCTTTCTCTTCTGTGCCAGGCGGGGAGGAAAAACAGCTCAGGCCTAGGCTGTACCCACACACACTTGGAGCAGCCTCCCCAGCCTCCAGGCCCTGCCTCATTGCTCATCAAGAGTCACTGAACCCCACGGGGTGAAGGGCACTGTTTTGAAGCTCTCTCAGGGCTTCCCTGTGAGTCCACAAAAGTCTGTCCCGGTTGTTTCAGATCTTCTTCCAGCTCATGAAGACTAATGTCTAACCCCAGCTCCACTCCAACCCTCAGTCCCTGGCCAGAAACCTTTTGCTTCAAGGGCTCAGAAACTGATTTCAATGTTCATGATGCTGCACACCCTTCAACAGTCTTTTCAGAGCTTCAGGCCCTCTTCCACGGGCCTTTGTTCCTGAACATCTGTGTGTTTGCTTTTTAGGAGAAGAATTTGGACTGGTTCCCTCGAATGAGAGCCATGTCCCTTGTCAGCAACGAAGGTGACAATGAGCAAAATGAGATTCGGAACCTGCAGGAGAAGCTGGAGTCAACCATGAGTCTGGTCAAACAGCTGTCAGGGCAGCTGGCAGAGCTGAAGGAGCAGGTCAGTGAGGCAGGGAGATGAGTTGGGAGGTGGAGCTCCTTCACCACCCGAGGGACGGGAGGCCAGGCTTTGGGAGCGAGACAGACACGAGAGCTATACGTTCCACCAAAGAGCACCACATCTCGGCATCTGCTCACCCACCTCCCCACCTCAGATGACATGCCTGTGGAAGGGGCCTGTGCCAAAAAGTGCCAAAATGCCATGAGGTTTTGATAGAAAAGCCCATTTTCTGCCATCGTAGCAGCAATGACACCCATTGGCAAGGCAGATCATCACGAGTATCTCTCATCTCAATCTAGAATCAGCCCCTTTGTCCAGTAAAGTTGTTGACATTGGTAAAAATAATAAAAGCAGTGGCCGTGGCAGCAGCGGCCTGGACCCTGCAGCAGCCGTGCCTATGTGACCAGCAAGCGCAGCTCTAAAAGAACCGTGGTTCCTGTTTCTTAACCACAGAGAGGGGTTTGCTCCTTTTCTCCATTTATGGAAATTCATTTAAGAAGCATTTTCCCTTTTCTGACAAATACATTCTATATGATGCCAGACAGTCTCGGGCCGGGGAACGACTCTGTGCTCCCCAGGACGGTCAGAGGGAGGAAATCAGCTCACCACACTCTCTCTTTCTCCCCAGATGACAGAACAAAGGAAGAATAAGCAGAGACTGGGCTTTCTGGGGTCAAACACACCCCATGTGAATCATCACATGCCACCACACTGAGACCCTGGGGGGGAAGCCGTGACGAGCCTCTCAGCAGTGTCCTGCCCGCTCGCTGAATAAAGAGCTGAGATGGAGGGAGTGAACAGCGCCTATTGTTGGAAAGCTAAAAACAACCCAGCACCAAGATGTCAAGTGGTTTCGCTCTGAGAACAATCTATAACTGTGCTTTCATGCCTGAGAAGTCCACGCTCAGAATGCAGCCTCTAGGAAGCACACCCGCGCTGCCGACCAAGGCCAGCCACCCTAGAACGCACTCAGGTGGAGCACAGGCCACGCAGGCAACTCCCCACCTTCTGTTAAATGCATGAGTCAGTTTTGTCTCCCAGGCTGACGGCAACCTTTGTCATGGCTGGGGTAGAATTTCTTTTAATTATGGCATATGGGTTAGTGACCCAGGCACTCCTACTTGGGTGACTGTTTCAGAAAATAACTGAAAATGAGAGTTGCAATGAAAACTCTTAATGCTTCCAAACTAGCTGTGGCCGGCAGCATCCTCCTTGGTCACTTGCATTGCCAGGGAGTCGCAGTTCTGGGAACTAGTGCCTGGAGCCTCAGCCCCTCCCACTAACAAGATGACTGGAATGTGATTGCTGTCCCCCGATTCAGAAGGATGTGTCCATGTACTTTGGTCAAAACAGGTTCTAGTAATGTCTAGGCTAAGATTTCAAAAGCTTCAGGGCAGAAAAAGTTGGCAGTAGGCCTTAAGGAAGAATTTTTAAGAACGTATGTATGCTATTAAAATATTTGGAGATTAATAAAAGAAAACTCTTAAAGGTGACAGAAATATTGAGAAGCTGGTGATGATAGCATTGCCTTTTATCAGTATGGAGTTTTATCAATATCAATATTTGATAAATGGATATATTAATCAACATCAATGCAGGTTTGCTGTGCTTAAGAAACAGAATGGTTTTATTTATCTAACTCTTCCTGCAGTCAGGAAATGAAAATCCAGGAAATTTATTGAATACCCAATAAAATGCCATACATTGCAAACTGTGTAAGAACTTTTAGGAATGTAAAAAAAATAATTATCTCCTCCCCAAATTGTTAAGTTATTCCACCAGAATCTGTGGAGGGGGAAATGACCTGCCATGCTCCTATTGTCCTTAGAGACAGAACTCGGGGCAGGACTGTGGGCCTCTGCATCGAGAGGAGCAGACACAATACCTGCCTCCTGGAAGTCACTTTGGAAAAGTGACCGTCTGTTATGTGCCCCCACCAGCACAGAAAGATGCCTCCAGAGACTGAAACTCTCCAATTATTGCTACCATGGTTTAAGGTTCCCTTTTAAAATGTTTGGGTTGCTTTCATGTAGTTTAGGCTTTTGGCTCCTAAAATTCTCACATCGTGGTCCAGGTAGAATATAGAAGGATCTGTTCAAGCATCCTTCTTCACACATCCATAAAATGCAGGCTCAGAGCCAAGTAGTGAAAGTGTGATGGATTTTGTAAATGAATCTGGTGGTACCCCTTCCCCCACCTCGCATCCCCCCCAACCTAAAAATTCCTCACTCTGACTTCATAGCACCGAAGAACTGTGCTCCAGATTGAAGTAGACCAAAGCCACCATTCTTTAAATGCAAGACCATCACTGTCGTGAACAGTACTAGATGAAAAGTCCACTTCCAGATGATTTCACAGGGCAGAGAGTTTTGGCAGGTAGGGAAGAGAAGAGAAAGGGGAGAAATGCACCATACTCGAGTATAGGAAACTATCTTGGATTCAGCACAAATACAATCTTTCTGACATCTGAACATTGAGAATACGCTGATGTGTACAAATGTGAGCGACCTGTTTTTTCAGATAATGAACTCTTGTCCTTCAGACGTTCCTCATCCTGTTGTGCAGGGAATATGCCATTGAGGAGCTAGGACTCTATCAATGCCTGGCCTGACCCCTCCACCGGGCCGTGGCAGCTGGCCATTGCACAGAATGTTTTCTTCTCTCCAAAAGAAAGAGCAACTAACAAAACTCTTATTTGATCAGAATTGAAATATTTCTCCTGTGTTTTTCTTTCCTGCCTAAATACTTCACAGATGATCAAGCAAAATAAAAAACAGGCAAATAAAAAAAAAGGCACTTTCCAGACTACTATATTCATGACAGAGAAGATAATAATGGGGCAAGTTGATGTTTGGTATAAATTTGTGTTTGCTGTGTATATGTTTGTTAATGCAACTGGAATATGTGACCTAGGTATTAATTAGCATTCTTATATTTATATAGTGATATTAAAATAAGTACAATCATCTTTGATTTTGATGCTAAGGGAAATGTTTTCCTACTTTGTTATTAAAATCCATATTGGTTTAAAAGTATCAGTTTCTGCTGAATATAGTTTTTAGTTTTTATTCCTCTCCAAGGCCCATTCTGAAGCCCAAAAGCATAATGCAAGTTATTTTTCCTAAATTAAAAGATCATTTTTAGATGAGCAAACATTTGTATCATAAAAGATTAACATGAATAAACTGCTTATATGTAAAACTTACCATATTTTCCACCTTTAAAAAGTTAGTTTAGAAAAGGGCTTATTTTCTTGCATATTGAAACTTTTGGTGACAGGAATGCAGCAGCTAGTAATTTCTGCAGTAAGATCAGGAAGGTATTCAAGTGAGAACTGATTTCATGCTTATGTCCATATTCTCAGCTCACAGCTCATTGGCCATTGCACAGAATGTTTGCAGAATATCAGCTACTCTTCATTCTACAGCTGTTTTATTACAAATAGTAATGAGTGAGTCACATCCCCGGGATGAGAATAAGCAGAGAGCCTGGGACCTGGGGTCTTGGTGAGGGAAAGGAAGATTGGAATACACTACATTTAGAGGAAGCAGGTGTGAAGAATAAGAAAAAGTGGGGCTCACCCTCCAGGGGCGCAGCACACTGGTACCTAAGTAAGCAAACACTGTACTGCATACTTATGGTACCACTCACAGGCTCAAAAGATAGCCCTGTGAGAGACCTGTGCTTGGTGGAGGAGCAGCTATGCAGGTGTTCAATCTACACAGAAGAAAGAGGCTTGCCTGTGCTGGTAGGTTGTGACACATGACACAATGCAAACCACAGAAGTGCAAGCATCTTCAACACACACAAGTGTCATGCACTGAAATGCATGAAATTGAGAGTTGTGCCCTATGTAAAGAGTGGCGAGGAGAGAATGATCTTTCTATTTATGAAATTGGACAACTCCTGGGCCTCCCTGGTGGCGCAGGTGGTTGAGTGCAGTGCTGTGAAGCTGTCCGCAGCCTCTGCAGTGCTGGTTCCCTCCCCACCGGCCTCGGAGCAACCCACATGGTGAGCAGACCTTTCCTGTCTCGCCCGCTGCTCCCCTCACCAGTGTATTTCATCAGTCTGCCTGTTCTGTTCCCCGCTCTGTCTCTGGTGAATCCTCTCATGCTCCAGTGCATCTGGTCTGTACCCCGACTCTTGTATAAATAAAATAAATTTCTAAAAATAAAATAAAATAAAATACTACCCTGCTGTATAATTGAAAAGAAAAGAAAAGAAATTGGACAATTCCAGATGTTAGAAAATGCTGAGGGCAACTGTGGCCCTCATACCACTCAGTTACTACTTCTGAAGTCATTGGTAAAGCTGTCCCATGTAAAAGAAAATACATAATTCTAAAATTAAGCACGTGCACTAAAGTGCACATGAAGTTTGAGAAATTGGTAAACAAATATGAACCAGAGTGTTCAAACTTGAATCATATATAAAATCATCCTACCAGTACTTCTCATATCACCAGGCAACATTCACCCCACCTCTGCATTTGAGGATTACTATATTTGCTTCAAAAAATGGGCTTCTAATATAATATGCCGTAACTGGATAAGTATAATTTATAACACTTTAAATAAAATTGGATTTGCGTAACTTTTTTACATGTGATACTTTAAGTGCTTTACTCACTTCTTAACATGTCTCTAAATAACATACTGTTTGGCATGAAAGGCAATATTACTGGAATTTTATAGAGCAAGACATGGAGGACATAAAAGCTGGTGACAAACCACACTGATGAGCTAGACCATGTGGAGACCAAGGTGCCGCATTTGTTGGGGGTTGAACACATCCCCAGGGCACAAACACCTGGCGGTATGTCTGCACTGCCTCTGACCCAGGACAACTGTGTGAGCACAGGTCATTGGGTCTTCCAGGATTTCCTGCTTGTCAACAACACCCTGGGCTTCAAATGCTAGTTCACTCAGAAGACAAGAACAGCCACCAGCCACATGGCAGGGGAAATCAAAAGGAGTTGCGTGAATCACATGCAAACCACGGTGAGGAGTCACCCCTCAGGGGTCATCTCCCAGTGCCCCAGTTCCCTGAAGAGTGTGGCAAGAAGTTGTTATGTTTGGAATTGGAGGAAAGGTTGGGGAAGAAATTGGACAATGAGTTCCTCTTTCACGAGGATAAGTGGCACAAAGGACAGGAGTGTGCATGTGGATGGGTGAGGATGGGTGTCCGCAAGTCACCTCGCCTTTCGCTGGTCAGCTGGGGTGTTTGTGGGAAGTCTTGGGAAAGCCTGGCCTTGAGCACCACTACAGGCCAGGAATCTGTGTCCCTTAGCATTCCCTATGTTCCCCCCACGGCAGACACGCCAGCACAAAGCACATAGTCAGCGACATGTGAACACAGAGACCAGACTTCATGCAAGTAGAAAATGTACAGGAACAGAGATTAGTTGTTTAGCTCACTTTGGCACAATTTAACAGAAAACTCTGGTTTTCACAAGTTCAATGTGGATTTTCCCCTAGATTAGTCCATTCCCTTTTAACTCTGTCTCTGGGGGTAAACTCAGCTCAGAGCAGAGCTGGGAACGCAGGTGCAGGTGTGGGGTTTCTCTGCCATTGAAGACAAGGTTCCCTTCCCCCACATCTGTGTGTAAAGGAAAGTTTTTGAGGCTGCTGCCTGTCTAATAACTGTGCTTTTCACTTTATTTTTATAATTGTCTTCACTCAGATAAGTGTATCCAACTTTCTATAGCTGCAATCATCTGTTCCTTCTCTTTCCACATGGATCAAATGTTTCTTTGTGCTCCTGGTCTCCTCAACTCTCCAGTTAAATAAATTCTGTGAACATAATACCTTAAAATCTGACCTGGCCCTGTAAAAAAACATTAATGTATGATTCTGAGGGTTTCCATAAGGGAACTAAGTGAGGGTGGGTGACATGGACCGTGAGACTGTTTCAGGGAGCTCACTGGGTGCAGTGGTGGCAAAGAGGAGGTGACTGAGGAGGTGGCTCTGAATTCACTGCCTGTCAGTGGGGTTGGAGGTCACAAGAACAACTGAGCAAGAAGGAAGGAGCAGGTATCTTGAGTCAGACAAAATCTAATGTGCATCTGCCTCACTGCCTCCAAACTCCAGAACTCATGAGACTTAAAAAAGCAGCTGGTGCCCCTCTCTGTGGAATTGCATGTGTGTCTGACCCAGGACTCAGAGGTGCTGAAGGAGATCTGATGGGAGCCATAGGCTGCTGGGTCCCTGCACCCCCACACCGGCGAGGTGAACTCCACAGGCTGGAAGCCTCAGACACACCAGTCACCTACTTTCAAACTCGACAGCTGTTGCTTCACTTCCACCTTCCAAATCTCATAAAATATCCCCTGTGGTCAAAGTGAACTGGTTACCCTGAGAAGAAGGGGATTCTGGGAAATGTAGTTCCAGCCAAGCTACATTGATGAAGCTGCCACCGGAGACCTTCATGCCACCTCTGTGAGGCTCCTTTTCATCCTGGACAGAAGACACACTTCCCAGCACTCACTGTAGCCAGGTGAAAACATGTGTCTGTATCCTTGTGTGCAATCAACAAGCCAACATGTGTGCAATCAACAAGCCAAGGCACTAAAGTCATGTACAAACTAGAATTTTCTCCAGCCACATCAGTCATGGAGGCCAAGCTGGATATAGCCTGAATGCCTAAGTCACTTCTTTGAAGGACACTAGCCTGGAGAGCCTTAAGTCCCACAGCAGACTTGGCACAGTAAGAAATAAACTATCCTGTGTTAAGTTGCTGAAGTCTAAAAAATTTTTTTCTTTTGGGATATTGTAAAATAACTTATATTAGAGGTGAGTGGGAATGAGAATTCATTACTACAGTGTGGTGCAGCCATTAGACATCAGAAAATTAACCCAAACTTACAACTCCAAGAAAAACCAAATATAAAGAAAGATCTACATATGCAAAATAGTCATTTTTATTCAAATACTGAACTGACTTCAAAGTCCAGTAATTTAGGTATGTTTAAAAACTTGACTCAGTTATAAGATGAAATGATACCTAAGTAGACAGGATAAATCTTTAAAATAGATACAAAATTATATATACTCTATTGTCTGAAAGCCTGCTTCTCAGAAATACCTCAACAGAATGCTATCCATTGTAAAGTGATTAAAGGATCACGTTTTCCTTTTACAAAAAAACTTTGTAGTGTTTAACATTACTTTTGTAGTTTAATAACTTTTTAAAGATTTATTTATCTGTGCACACAAGAGCTGGGGCACAGGCCAGACATGGGAGGGTAGGAGTGAGAAGAGCCACTAGACACAGAGCAGGGAACAGACACAGGCAGACTGACTGAAATACACTGCTGAGGGGAGCAGCAGGCAAGATAGGAGAGGTCTGTTTTGCCATGTGGTTTGCCCCCTGGCCGGCCGGGGATCGAACTTGTGCTGCAGAGGCTGCAGACTGCCACCACAGTGCGACACCCAACCCCTTGCACCACCAGGGAGTCCCCAACAACATTTTTAAAAGGAAAGTTATATTAAATCCAGTCAGTGTTTCTTAAGAACAAGTTTTTCCAAAATCATTTACATTTATTTATAGGAACCCTGGAATTGTAGATTAAGTGAACGCAATACTCATAGTTTATGTTTATTTCAACAAGATATTTAAGAAAAGTTGCTTTTATTATTCTGGACAAGACAGAAAAATCTATCCTCAATGAAAGTAGAGTCCCTTAAGTATGTAAGTGAGTGAACAATTTTACTTAATGTGAAATTAAAATAAAATATCCTTGGCCTGAGCTAGACCTTTGTCCTTGGCCTTTTCCCAACCAACATAGATTTGAATGGCTAGAATAAAGAAATAGATGGCAAAATTATAAAATGTCAAAATGACATAAAGCTAGGAAGTAGAGTGAACATGATGGATGACAGAGCAACAATCATGTCAGAAAACTGGAACAATGAACATAGTTATTCTGATGAACTTTAACTGGGAGAAACATATAGTTTCGCTCCAGCTGCAGAAGTGTAGCATAGGACAGACAGCCCTTCATGCAAAAATGAAACAAAACTTGAGATTTTAAATGATCCCTAACTATATTTATATTTTCATATATTTTAACCTGTATTTAGTGATTGTTATATTTAAGGAATATTCCAGAAATCCAGGTTAGAGATGATGAGGTGTTTCTTCTTCAAAGAGTAGATACATCTCAAGGCTTAAAGAAGGGTAGGTCACAACAGATATCCAAAAGGAAGAATCTACAGAACTTGGAGGTCAGCTGGAAAAGAAAGATGGAGGAATCCAGAATGATTCTTGGGCTTTTGGGGAATGGGGAAATGGTAGTGCTGTCCATAGAGACAGGGACTACTGGAAGAGTAGTCACCTATTGGGGGGAGTAGAAGATGACTTAAATCTTGGACATAGTGAGACTCAGTTGTTTAAGAGAAAACCAAAAAGAAATACCTGTTTGACAGTTGTAGAGAATACACCATAATGATACTCATTGTGTTAGGTAATTGAGTACATAGCCTAGTCTATAGATGATATCATGGACTCTAGGTCTCGAGTGTAAGCTTTGAGTACATGAAATAGTCAGGGCCAGAGAAGAGATTTAAGAGTCAACAAGACATGCACAGCAGTGAGATCCCAAGGAATAAACAAATCCCAAAGACAGAGAATAGATACTACAAAGAGAAGATCAAGGATAGAAGTCCAAAGAAAACCTAGCAAGAAAAGTAAAAATAAGTAACAGGTAAATGAGAAAGAAAAATCAAGAGGACCAGAGTGAGAACAGAAGCAAATGATGTGCTGGAAGTCAAAACAGCAGGGAGTTTCAAATAGAAGATACAGGGCTTCCTACTAAGTGTTAGTAGAATAGCATAAGTCATTTTTTAAAAAAGATTTATTTATTTATACAAGCACTGGGTACAGTCAGAAGTGCGGGAGGGTGAGAGAATTCACCAGAGCCAGAGTAGGGAGCAGAACAGGCAGACTGACGAAGTACACTGCTGAGGAGAGCAGTGGGCATGGCAGGAGAGGTCTGTACAACATGTGGGACCCTTGCCGGTGGCTGCGGATCGAACAGCACTGCAGAGGCTGCAGGCAGCTTCACAGCCCAGCACTCAACTGCTACGCCATGGGGGAGGCCCTAGCATAAGTAACTTCTAACCTACTCACAATCACGGAAACAGCAGAGAATAATATATC